ACGAGTCGGCAAATCACGAAGAAGCACCGACGATCACCATGTTTTTGCTTTCTCCTTTTTTTTTTCCTTTTTTCTTTCACTTTTTCTCTAAATTTAGAATTCTCTTTTTCTTTTTTATTTTTCATTACATTTGTTGTTTTCTTTTTTAATTTAACATTAGCCACGAAAAACTAATAACAATTTTCTCGTCGCACGTGTGCGTAATGTAACGATCCGTGCGAAAATGATCGAAATGAAATTAAACCAAAAAAAAAAAAAGATCTCCTCGTTGCGTAGAATTTTCGTTTCAAACAAAAATGAGAATTTTTCGGGGAAGGGGGAAACAAAAATTGTCGAAATTGTAGAAATAAAAAACGATCGAGTCAACGTTCAAGTGGGGATGGTTTGTAATTTCACCTGTTAGTTTCGTATGAAAGAGCTTTGAATTTCATCTATTTAAATAAAGAAAGGAAAATACGAGAAGAGAATAGTACACCGAGAGTTAAGTTTTCTTCTGTCTCTCTCTCTCTCTTTCTCTCCCTCTCTCTTTTTACTCTTGGCACGTGTCCACGGATAATCGTGTTCAGTATTATATGCGTCTGCCGGAACAAGACGTTAAGCTTCAAAGTAGGGTATCGAGGTTGCTACCAAAATGACTGGGATTATCTCTTATTAGTCGATTGTACCGATTAATAGCATACTAATTTTCATTTTATTGTCCAATTCAAATAAAAGCGATTGAAATATATGATAAAGATATATAATTGAACCGTTTATTTTGAAAGTGGTGTGCAAGTTCATTTGCAGCCTGTAAATATACATTATTTTAGTTGAATTAGCCTAAAAGTAATGTATATAATCAAATTACATATCGATARATTAATAGAAACATTATTAAACTTGATATTAATAATAAATATTTTTAAATTAACCAATATATGTAAAAACCTTTAATTTTTTCAAAACAATAGAAAATGGACTTACACCACTTTCAAAATAAACGATTCATATATATATATATATATATATATATATGTATGTATTATAGAATATCTATATGGTTTTGTCGACATATTGATTAAATCATAAATTATTTCTATCTCGAGTGTTTAACCTATCAATACGTAATAGAAATTTAATTGCATAAGCTGTTATGATGAATATTGTAGATATTTGAATGATACGATGATAGGATTCTATTCGTAACGATTTATATCCTATTCTATTATAGATCGTTAGCATTTAAACAAACGAACAAACAAACAAATAGACAGACGAACGGACAGACAGACAGACAGACAGACGGAGAGGCAAACTGACAGAGATAAAAAGAGATAGAAAGAGAGAGAACGGGTATAGGTTGATGAATATTTCCGGATATTGTTAAATATACTACAGAGTACCATTATCGAAGAGGAGAATACTCTTGCAATCTCGATATTTTCATAAATACCCAAGTTTTTCCTGTTTATCGTATTTTTTTTTTTTTTCTACATACATACATTGATATTTTTCTTCTTCCTTGCTCCTGAAAAAACATCAATCCCATTCATCGTTCTCCTCCTTCATAAAGATTTCAAGAAAAGTGGGTGAACTGGGTGGGGAGGAGAAGGAGGAGGAGAAGTAAAAAAGAAAAGTTGAAACAGGCAGTGAATTTTTACCCAACCCCTTTTTTCCCGAGATGTAAAAAATATTATTCCGCGTTTCATACTAAAAAAAAACCGTAGTTTCAGTTCAGGAGTGATATTTTATTAGGCAATTTGCCCCTTTAAAGCGATAAGAAGTGTAAAAGCGTAAAGTTAACGAGTCGAAAGTGGTACTAGAGAAGCATTGGATAAGAGAAACAAACGAGACGGTAGAGGGGTGGAAGGATCGCAAAGGAGGGGAATACAGTTGGATGGAAGGAAACGGAGAAGAAAGATATAATAGGAGGTTGTTGGTTGGCGTACGAGGTTCGCAAGTACCTTCGAGAATGAAATTTACGAGCGTTACTTGGCCAGATGACATCGAAAAAGTTTGCGTCGCAGTGCATTTCGTATTCAGAATTGTTTGCAGTCGTATTTATATACGATTTCCGTTTACATTTCCTACGTTTTCGGTTTGTACGAGATAAACTACGTTTAATTGATCTTCTAATCAGATCAGGAACTTCGTTATATTTTATCGACGAGTCGAAGAAAAATAAAGAGAAAATGATTACAACGTATTTAATAATTCTAATTAACACACGTATACAGAAGTGGAAAGGAGGATGAAACATTTTGCGAGGGTGGGAATAAAAGGTTTAATTTTTCTTTTTTTTTTTAGAACAATGTTTGTACACCACCGAACGAAGGGATATATATTACGTATGCAGTGGTTACAAAAATAATTTTTTTTACGAGGGAATTTTTTTGTTCTTTCAACAGAATTTACAAATTATTTCAATACGCATAAAAAATATTTAAATATATATATA